GTCTATAAGACTTATAAGGCCCCTTTATTGCTCCTTCGAGACCTATAGGCTCGTTGCCTTTTACGCCCCTATCTAGGAGATTACTATCTTTTCTTAGGCGCTTAAAATTCTATACCGATCCTCCGGGAGACTTAGTTATAGAACTTCTGCTCGCGTTACCTAGTATATCGTAAAGACCCTTAAGGAGAATACTAATAGAATCTTATAGTAATATTAACTAGATTGCGATAAGGGAGAGTAAAATCTAATTTAACCTTTTCGTCCTATCCGCTATCGATAGAGCTATAGGCCTCTACTTAATAGTAGGCACTAAATAAAGTAACCTAGAATATAAGTCTAGGAGAATAGTTCTCCTTCCTATCGCTATAAGAGGAAGAGTAATTAGCCTCTTAAAGATCGCCTAGTACTAGTATCGGCTATATATCGGTTATATATAACTCTGCAATCTTATCTTACGTACGTTTATCGCTATAGCTCGCGTCCTTATATTAGGTTATAGTATCTAAAGCCTTTAGTATTAGCGATTTAGGATATAAAAGGCTGCTAAGAGCACGTAGTTAGCTAGTTTATCTATATATAATCGACTCCGTACCTAATAATCTTATATACTCCTAGATCGTTAAGAGGGAGTTAGTCGATATAGTAGGTAGGATATTCTTCGTAGGATTCTATCGTTTATTAGCCTTCTAAGAGTATAAGAATACGAGAATAATAAGGGACTAAGGAAACGGGGTAGACTAGTACTTAAGTTTCTCTATCCTCTATATAACTATAAAGGAGCTATCCTAGATAAGCTTTTCTATAACTCCTAATATAGGCTCTAGTAAATTATCCTATACGTTCTCTATAGTATAACTTTAGCTATCCTATAGCATCTTTCGGCTAGTTATCTTTTACGCCTTATTCCTCTTTTAGGATAGTAGTCCGCTATTACTTAGCTAATACTTATAAGCCACCTCCTAGAATAAATATCTAATAGTTAGCCCTAGCTTAACTAGGATACCTCTAGCTTCTATATCTACGCGCCGATTATATCCGAAGTTTCTTTAAATCTATTAGCACCTAACCTCCGAATAGGTACTAGGGCGAAGGGTAACTAGGCGGACCGCCTCATCCGCATAACGCGAACCAGCCCGCAGCTCTTCTATAGCGGGGTTTAGGGGGTAAGCGTAACGTAGGATTCTACCTAATAATTTCTCTTCCCTCCGACTTAGCCCTAAGTGCTAATATATATATATATATATAGGAAGGTCGGGATATAGCGAAGCCTTTAGCGTACGAAGCCTTATAATAAGGAACGGTTGCCCTCCTCGGTATTAGCCTTAAAAGAAGAAGGTAACCCCTATAAGACCTATATAGGAGTAAGCGGCTCCTAGGACGTGGTCTAACTAACTAACCGACTCGCTACTCCTCTTATTAAGGAAACTTAGTAATATAGCCTAAGGTCTATTCGTTTTCCCGGCTTAGACCTATTAGATAGCGTGTTAGTAATGCTTCTACCTATAGTAAGGGTTAAAGGAGAGCCTACTAATTTGCCCTATAGGGTAGGAAAAGCGAGATATTACGATACTTCTAAGCTCCGTCTAAGTATTAATTTATAAATTATATAGTACTAGGCGCAGTTTCGTTTCTTATCTATATAGGGGCAGCCGGGCACCTTAACCGTGGTTTATAGTTAGTATGCGATTAGGGGCATAAATATAGCTCGGAGCCGCTATTTATAATACGCCTTGCACTTGGCCCTATCCCACCCCTCTACTTATAAGGCGTTATTAAAAACTAGACTACATTAGGCCGGCGAGCTCATAGACGCCGAACAGCCCCCGGAGACCATCCCTCTAAGACAAGGAGGGCGAACCCTTCTATACCTAGATATATACGCCTACCGCGGTTATGTTCTATAAGACTTATGCCTATATAACTATATATTAATAGTTTACTTAGTGCGTCGAAATGGTCCGAGTAAAGATAAGTCTCACATTTTTCTCGATAGGCAGGGCTCCGACCGTGACGGCTAGATATAAAAGCTTCGACGGCCCGACCAGTACGCCGTCCCGATCTTCTAAGGATATATCAGCGACGACCATAAGGACGATCACCTAGTATATATTAAGCGGTACGCTCTAACACCCTAGTACTATTTTTAGCTCCGTCTAACTACCTATATAGAAATTCTATCCTATATTTAGCGTTATTCGTCCCTTAGGAAAACTTTATTTCTAAGAGCTAAGGCGATATAACCGGTATATAGACGAGGCATCGAGCGGGGCTTTATCCTCGCCTCTATTTCTATATCTCTAATATTTATCTTTTAAGAAAGGCTGCCGAGGATACGCGCAAAGACGCGAAGCTCTAGGCCAGTCGATCGGAGGGCGACGATATAATTAACGTCGAGTACCTACTTAACGCTAGCCGCTACGAAGAGGAGCCTCTAGCGATGGCTTATCGTTAGGCCTATAAAGCTCTACTCTAGATTTTACGAAATACCGTGCAGGATATAGACGCCACGAAAGACTCACCCGTCCTTAGAGGTTTAATACGCGATCTATACGAAGAGAACCCGGCTAAAGAGGAGCAACCTTTTATATAACGTTAGGAGGATTTATACCGGAATATACCCTATAATTAAGGTAACGCCTTATACTAATTTCTAATATCTCGAGACGATATCTAGGCAGCGGCCAAGGCCTAATAACTATTGCATCTTCGGATACTAAACGATATTAAGGGTGGTTCTTAGGGGACCATGCTTTCCACGGACGGCGCCGACATCGACGATACCCTAGCTCGCTACGGCGATACGGAAACCACTATTGCGCACCCGGGAAGTAACCTCAATTAATAAGGGCCTCGAATGCTTATCGACGTTAGTCCGGTAACTAGCTTCGCGGAGATAGGACACACCGCTATAGCCACCTTTACACTAAACTATCTATAAACCGTGGCCCTTTAACTTATTTACGTATTTTTAGATAGGTATACTGCCAATCTAGACTTAGCGGGTTAGCATCTTTAATACACCGGCGGGCCGGGTGGCACGGGAAAGTCGAGGATTATCGATGCCCTAAAGGACGTGTTCGCGGCGAGGAACTAGCCATATCTTCTATAGATAACCGGCATATCGGGCAGTTCGGCGGCCTAGATTAGCGGCACGACGATCCACTCGGCCTATAGGTTAGATTCCTATCGCGATCTAAATAAACCGCCTCCCCCCTTTTCGGAGGCGAAGAAATAGATATAGAAATAGAAGCTAGTGCTCGTCATTAACGAGGTCAGTATGCTAGGAGGAGCCACTCTACACAACGTCAGTCGTCACCTATAGGCACTCCGTGACTATCCGGACGAGCCGTTTAGTGGGATGCCTATCGTTCTACTTATGGGAGACTTCTACCAGTTCGCCCCCGTGCGGGAAACAAGCCTCCTAATTATTAGACCGCCGGGAACACAGACCCCCCTACGACAAGCCACCATCTCTCACCACAGCGGCTGCAGATTATGGCATCTGTTTAAAACCGTTGTGCTCCTCGAAGACCAAGTCCGGGCACGCAACGATCCCCAACTTCGCGCACTCCTAGATCGAGTTCGTAACGGGCGCCAGACGCAGCAAGACCTCGACTTGCTTAACGAAAACATCATAGGACGCTCCTAAATCACCTTCCACGATAGTTTGCGTGCTATAACGCCACTGAACCGCACCCGGTAGGCCCTTAACATAGAAGCTGTCGTGGGCTAGGCGCGCTTCAATAAGCGGCATATCCGTATCTTTGTCTCGACTCACACCTAGCGCAGCGGCACGCTTTCTCCAAACATCGTAGCGCGAACCATAGGACAAGGTAATAACTCCACCTGCAAGGTCCCCGGCGTCTTCTTCTACGCCCAGGGCATGCCTATGGTTGTGAACAAGAACATCTACACCGGCCTAAAAGTTATGAATAGGGCCGACTTTACTGCCGTAGACGAATGCTCGATCCCAATCACCTAGGATACCACTTAGCGGGTGACGTGACCATCCACTTCGGGCCACCGCTCGGCATTCTCCTATAGTCCGAGGAGACGAAGGCCTTGGCAATACCGTCCCTCCCGGTGGGGACGGTACTCATCCGCCCCGTGTCACATACACTTGATTCGACTAACTCTTACTTCAAATTCTTATCGGCAAGATACACGCGACGTGGATTGCCCGTCGTACCAGCGTTCGTCCTCACCGATTATAAAGCCTAGGGTAAAACGTTCGTGGAAGTACTATTAGAGCTGCGTAGAAATCGTGTAACCAATGGTGAACCCTCCAGGTGCGATTTTACGAGCCTCTATATGCAACTATCCAGGTGCATCTCGCTTCGGGGCATCAAGCTTCTTGGTCCTGTGAGACACCATGATTTTATTGGCAATGGGCTGGATCCGGCTATAATTGATGGAATGCAGAGACTCAAGAACTTGGCCGCAGAAACGAGAGGGTTATACGAGGACCAAGGTTTCGAAAAGTAGTGGTAGTATACTAACCATCCTAATAGTTTGACCTTTTGCACGTCGTAACGCGGCAGGTAAACGTCCTATACTTCATAAGGTGACCGGACCGCACCCCAGTCGTCTGGATCTCGATCCCGTCCCTTCCTAGAGCGCAAGTGCTTTTGGCTTTCACAATAATTCACCCACTATTTCTCAAACGCGTGGCGGCTATAGAGCCATCCCGGCGGCCCGTCTCCTTCCTCGAATAGATCTAGGATATAGTCGCAAAACATCCACACACCTTCAAGATGCTGCGGATAAAATAGCTTCCCGTCCTTACGCGTAACCACGACGGTGCCAACTTGTGACTGCCATTCTGGAGGTGCAAACCGGAGTTGGCTTCAATACTGAGATACGTAGTAATCTAGTTGTCGAGGTTCGGCCCTGTTGACCTAGGATGATTTACAGATAGAGAAACAATCTTCTCAAAGCACACCACGATCGGCCAGCTTCTACTCGATCTACGGTGCTGTCGACCAACTAAGCCTATCCCTTCACCGCCGACCAAGCATAGCTGCTGACCTGTCCATATGCGACTCTATCCCCTTTGCTTTACCCTGCTCCATCGCAACCATCATTTGCCTTATCGCCGTCCCACTTGTCCCGCCCGGAGCTCGACCATACACGGACTCAGCAAACATCCGAAGCTGCATCGGGAATCGGGAATCCCCATATTGCTCGATGATGTCGCTCTTTTCCACCGCGCATCGTAGGTCGTGCCATTGCGATAGGGTCATGCCGAGTGTCTCACACTCTTTCTTCTTCTTTGCATCCCACCACGGCGGCAGTAAACCGGGACAACGCTCGACGCGCCCCAGGAAGCGCTTGAAGCCACGCAGCCCATTGGCGGCACCACCATATATGCTATCCGTGTCTGCTTCGCCTTCAATGTTGTACATGTCCTCAACGCGCAGCCGGTAAGCGTCGATCAGCAACCCGTAGACATCTCTTTCCGATCGATCATAGAGCCAAGTGCGATTTTCAAGACGCGTGAAGGGGTGGGCGACGCCGTGTTCCAGCCCCTTCGGAGGCGACAAATTTGTCGTCGTAGACCCATCTTAAAACGACGTCGTAGCGTCGGCCTATTGTTTGCTGCAAACCTTCTTATAGGCCTTCTAGTCTGCCTTCTAGCAATCCCTGGAGCAGTACGGCGTTGTAGAACATTTCGCGCACCTCTTAAGGGCGACTTCAGGCGGCGACTTCTTGCAGCTATTGCACTCAAGGGCCATGATGACCTAATTCCGATGACTAAATCGTTGCAGGTTGCTTGTGTAAAGAGGCTGAATCAATTTAAAGCTTATTTGTGCCGCAGGGTGGAGATGAGGGGTAGGCTTAAACAGGTAAGGTGCTGTAGCGGGTCCAAGCAGCCGCACTACCCCTCTCTTCTCCAACAGACTTGTCTACGTTTAAAAGCCAACCCGAATGCTCGCGCTCGGCTATGCCAACTCTCGTCCCGTTCCTCAAGGCATTGGCGGGCCCTGAAAGGGGCCGGTCTCCTGTCCAGATGCCATGAAAACCAATCAATCAGCCCCGCCGCCGTCGTTTTTGCTACGCCACGTTTACTTTACGGCCCACTTCACCCTCCCTCCTGATCTATAGAAGGGTGGTCTGGATGAGGTGAACACAGCCGCATGGCACTTTCCGCGCGCTATTCGATGGGGCAAATCACACACGATGCAGGGCAGCCTCAAACAAGGCCCGAGCCATGTTGCTACACAGCGTCTGTCACGCAATATACAGACGGCAGCCAACATAGCCAGTACAGCACGGAATGCTATGTTGCTTGCGCATCAACAAAGCAACTTCACACGGCTGCGTGTCAGTCCTTGACTTTCCAAAGTGTCAGCGGTGTCAGCGGAGAGTAATCCGGGGCGAAATCGCGCGGACCAAGGCACAGAAGGGGGCCAATAGACTCGCGGTCCTGCGAGCGCTAAACCCATGGACGCGACCTATTGGTTCCCCTAGGGCCTATACATAGGCTGGCGCTTGAAGAAACATGGTGGTGAGAGAGAGGTGAAAAGAACAAGCACCGGCAACCATGTGAAAGCGGCCGATCGGTGGATACTCGGGGGGTTGACTAAGGGGCTTAGGCCCCCCCCTCTCCTGCCGGAGAGGGGGGCACAATACCCATTTCTTTGACGTTCGCGTTTCCCTCTTTTATGACTTCAACCAACCGCCAGGCCTTCAATTAATGCTTTTAAGACTTGAAACTTTTACCGTATCATCATATATACTTTATTTCTATTATTCCTAACTTTTAGTTAAGTAGCAGATTTCATATAACTTGGGCGACGCGAGCTGATTTATAGGGGTGAAAAGATTCAGTCTTTATAGATATACTTTCACTAGTAAGATAAGCTGTACGGTACATTAAAAGACATGCGTTTAATACAGCATATTCAGTAACGATTATTATATATATATATTGCACCACAAATTTAACGACAATTTTTCTATTTAGAATCAGATTTTTTACAATATATGCATTAAAGGTGTTAGTACGTTGGTGCGTTACGAAGCTTTATGGCCGCGCTTTAAGGTAGCAATTGCGCCAGCGTGACTCGTTCTTAGAGAGTAAACGGAGTACTTAACTGCCTAGGTAAAATGGTAGGAGCTTAATATATCCCGTTTAAAAGTCACCAAAGACGCGCGATGCACGATTAACCCTTGGACCAATTTCTATAAAACTTAGTATACGCATTCTATAGTACCTAATAGATGTCATACCTTTTTTTTTTCGTGCAATGAATGTTAATTGATTGTGTGACGCTTAATTAAAGGCGCGATTAAGGGAAACGCATACTGTATCCCACTCTCAAGCAGTGGCTTGAGAGCACAGTGGAAGAAATAGGGGCACAGAAAGGTGAATTTAGTGATGCATGTCTTCGTCTATCTATTGGGACAAGGGAGGGGCTTATATAGGTACAGTGACCACATATAGCTAGCTAAAAGAGGGCAATAGGATGTTCCTATACCTAAGTTAGGCCTATATAGTGTCCTTAGGCTAGGGGAGTCATGTTGTTTAGGCAGGCTTCCTTGTGCATGACTATTGGGTCTACTAAGCATGACTGTGGCCTCTTATGCCCACTCTCTCTCCTCAACACACCCCCTTGTTATACTAGCTTCTAGATGGTGGGGCAATAGGTAGAGGAGGATTCGGTCTAATAAATGTGAGGTTATTCCGATATTGAATTCGGCTGCTTTGTTGTCTGTTTAAGGAGGTTGTCTAAAAATAGGGGAGGCTCCTAATTATATCCTGCAAAAAAAAAGGGAAGGTAAATACAGTAAAAGGCAAAAGCCGGGACCCGAGAGGATAGGATGTAAGGAGAACCCTCCTCCGTACATCCTATCTCCTCGGGCCCCTAAGTTCGTTAACCGCGCCCCCCCTAGGGCGTGGTCACATAACCTGCTCTTCCGCCCTAGGGGGAGTCGAACTTACGATTAATAGGGTCATATAACCTGCTCTTACCGTTTAACTAGTAGTTATAAGTTATATTTATAACCTTCCTTATAAGGAGGGGGGATGGCGGGGCATCCCTTTAGGTAGCCTAGGTACCGTAGTACCTTTGCCGGCAACGTTATTATTTAGGATAAAAGTAATCCTAAAGGTAGGCTTTCTAATAATATATTCCTTATATTAATTAGTCTTAATTTAGTAAAGCTATTGCGATTATCGTGAGTTTAAGCGCTATAGTATTTTGCTAATTAAGGGGTAGTCTAGTAATAGCTTTACTTCTTAGTAGTAAATAGGGCTAACTTCTACCCCCTAGATCTTTATAGTTTCTTAACTAAATTAAGATCTAACTATGCCGTTAGAATCCCCTAATCTTAGTATATATAGTAGTGCTCTTATTATCGGGATCCGGCGATTATCGAGTTCGCTATAGTAGGGAGATATTATGCCTTAGTACGGTAGTTATATATATTATCTCTTAATATATCTTCCGGCCGTATTACTAGTCCTAGTTGCTTAATAAAGCTCTAATACTTTTAGTATATAAGCGCCTTCGTTATACTATTAGCTAGGTTATCTACTAATACGATCTAGCTAACTTATATCCGATCTTACTATACCTCCTAACGAAGCTAGTATTTATAAACGTTAACGTGCTTAAGGTTTATCTTAAGCTTCGCGCTTAATTTAGTTAGAAGCCTAATAGTCTAAAGGTTATTATACTAGAGCTCTATAGTCCCTTTAATACTAATGCTAAGCTCCTTAATTAGTCGGCTAAATGCTACCTATTCCTTAGCTGTCTATAAGAGTGCTAATAATTTAGCTTCTATAGAGGACGTTATTATAGTAGCTTGCTTAGTAGCTTTCTAGTTAATTAGCCTACCTAGGAGTAGGAATACGTATCCTTATAAGGACTTCCTAGTCTCTAGGTTATCGGCGTATAAGGAGTCGGATATATATATTAGCCGCCTTATTAGGTTTATCGTAAAGTAGATATAGCGGTTTCTCGTATAATAGAGGTAAGCTAGGCACTTACGTGCTTCGTGCCTATAGCGCGGCCCGGGGTTATAATTATATTAGGCTAGCTTTCCGGCTATAAATGCGATATCTAGCTTAGTATAAATTACTAGATAAATAAGCGACCTAATTAAAGAGAGATATTCGTATATCTCTTCCTTTAAGGCCTGCTTTTCGTAGGGGACGAGCTCTTCTATTATTAGCGGGATCTTAGGCTTACGAAGGATATTATTATTAAGGATATAATATTTCTTCGCGGTCTTAAAGATATAGGAAGCTTACGAGAGCTATATCTTCTTAAGATCCCTATCCCTAATAATCTCGATGCTAAGGAACTAGCGTAGCTCTCCTATATACGTAACGGTGTATTTCTTTATAATAGCCTCGTATAGCTCTTCCTAATCTTATTTTTGCCTTTTCGGATATATTATAACGATATTATCTACGAAGATAAAGATAATAACGCCCTTATAGACTAGTACGTAGGCGTCTTCTACTAGCTACTAGGCTCCTAGTTTAGTAAAGAAACTAGATATCTCTTTAAACTATAGCTTTAGAGAGATACGGAGCCCGTATAGTGCTTTTAATAGCTTTAGGCATAGCCTAGGTATTAAGAATCCTAGTAGAGGCTAGTAATAGACTTCTTAGCGTAGGATTGCGTATAGAAATACTATTTTTACGTCGTATTATTCCGTCTTAAAGTCCTCGAGGTAGTAGAAGGCTATTAGTAGTCGAAATATTCGTGCTCGTAGGGTAGCTATATATATATCCTCGTTACCTTCGGGTTATAGGTCTCTACGAACTATAATACGTACTTTAAAGCGTATAATATACCCCTATTTATTAGTCTTATATATAAAGACCTAACGTAAGGGGATTAGGAAGTAACCTTTCTATTTAATAACAGCTTTTAGGATAGTCTTCTATATACCCCTTACTAGGTTTTCCTCTATTTCGCGGTCTATAGCTTCCTTCTACTGTGTGGAATTCTAAAGCTATTACCGCGTTAAAGGAGGTAGGGGGAGGCGGCATATCTTTAACGTAAAGCTTATACTTACTTGCCTTTACGATAATATTATTAATAAGGGATTTCTTAGGCCTACGAGCCCGTTTTCCTTTAATAACGTTGCTTAGGTTAATCCCTTATAACGTATCCTTTCGTCTACGTTATTCTTATGTTTATAATATCCTTAAGCCGGCCCTACTAACCGCTAGGTTAAGGGTGCGGGGTTCGGACTAGGGGTTATCTTCTTAAACTTATACTATAATCGTTCCTTTACCCCCTAGGTTAAGAGGTATATTATTACGTTCGTCTTAAGGAGACGAGTCGATTAATATAGGTATCGTATCTTTAAGCTATCTCCCTAACGAGATATAGGAGGGGTTGCTAGCTATAGTATCTATCATGCGTAGGAGGCATAGAGCTTAGTAACTCTGTGTTAAATATAGTATTAGGTAGAAGGGGTAACGTTAAAATCTCTATCCCTAGTCCTACTATTTCCGGAGGGGAAAGATATATATATCTATATAATCCTTATAAGGGCGTCTTTAATCCTTAATCTTCTAGAGTATATAGGGGTAATAGGTCCCGTAGGAGGGTAATTGCTTCTTCCGGCGTCTAACTGTTATCCGTATTATCGTCGGATAAACTTAGTACCCTAAAGGTTTCGGGTTCCCTGCTATCTATAACGTCGGTTGCGGCTATATCTCTAAGGATATCGTAGCTATATATTTAGACTAGCTAGGCTTGCTCTTCTC